GACAGACAGACAGACAGACAGACAGACAGACAGACAGACAGACAGACAGACAGACGTGGTTAATAATTGACATCATCCATTTCCACACACCCCCTTACCTTTTGCTCTCTGATCTTTTGTTTCAAGAAGAAAAAGAAAAGAAGAAGAAGAAGAGAAACAACGGAAGGAAGCCCACCCACCTACTCGTTTGTTTGTTTGTTTGTTTGTTTGTTTGTTTGTTTTTTTTTGTGTGGTTTTTTTTTCCTTTTTCTTTGCCATTGTGTTTCGTTCCTGGCCAACAATTTCAAACATAAGTGAAGCAGCGTGGTGGAATCAGGCTCTCGTCAAATTTTGGGCATGTAGAGTTGATTGGTATTATCTTAAAGCTTGTTCACTTGTCTTTATTTGGTTGAAAAAAAATACTCATTTATCTTGAATACAAGTCGAGATATTTGTGAATGAAGAAGGTGGTGGTCACCTGTTTTTAGAGGTCAAATTAGTGAGAAAATGGCCGCCAAAGATTAGTTATTTCCTTAGCTTAAGAGTCCGTGGTAATTGAAAATTTACATTTTTTGTACCTTTAACCAACGTTTTTCAGAAAAATCCACACAGAAAGTTTTTAAATGGGCATGAAAGGCGTTGAGCCAAAAAACAAAAATTTGATAAAAACTCACAAACCTGCGGAAAAATGCAAGTTTCTTCACTTTGATTATTTTGACGAGAGCCTGATTCCACCACGCTTCCTCACAGTAAATATTTTTGTTTTTGTTTTTTTATCTCCGTCACAGGTCAGCGAGAAAGGCGAAAGAGATACAATGTACTTCTTTTTATATTTTTTACATATATTTGTCTCCTAATAAATTTGTAAGCAGTTTCCAGTCTGGTTTTTTTTTTTTTTTTGGTTAAAGAAATTACGATTCTGACACACAGCGGGCGAGTATTGTTAGAATCTACTTGATGAAACCTCCCGTATGATAAAACATTGATGGGTGTTGGAGGATTAAAATATTTGTTGTTGAGTTTGAGTTTGAGTTTTTTTTTTAATAGGTTTTTTTTTTGGTTTTTGTTTTGTTTAGTTTTCAGATCGGCGTACGTGGCAGTGTTTTTAGGTTCTGATTCTGAGCATCGCACGCAAACGGTGTGAGTTCGATCCCCATGTGGGAAAGACTTGTTAAGACTAAAAGGGGT